AACAGCCAGGAGAACCAGCACGGGAGCAAAGTAATGTTCTGCTGTGGACGTATGTTAGACTCCTAGAAGAATCTGTTAGTTTGTGTTGAGTGACTTTAGTGAATCTGGACTAACTTTAAAACACTAAAGTCTCACAAGAGTCTTTGGAGTCTAAAACACGTCCACAGCAGAACATTACTCTGGAGCTGGTTCTCCCGTCTGATGCTGCTGAAGAGTGGATCAGCACATTACGTGCATATGTTCACCTTTCTCTCAGATATGAGCCCATTAAAGGATGAAAAAGAGCTTAGGTTCATCCACCACCTGTCTGCTCTAACCACCTCCTGCAGAGCTCTGTGTTGTTGTGTTGTCTGTCGCCTCAGCGGTGATGTAACCAGCCACCAGCAGATGTGTTGCCCCGCTGGATTGTCAGAAGGTCACATTTCACTTTGGTTCAGATGTGAAATGTGACTGAGTGACTTGTGGGTCAGGACTGTTTGACGTACTGTGGAGAGACATGTGGAGAATGTGAAGAGTCACTTTAAACATCACATCCTGTGTGCTGCAGTGTTAGTTCACTCATTAAGTTTTCATTTCCTTTGAAACTTCATTCCAATGTTCTTCAAGCTCTTCTCACCGGCCTGTTCTGTGAGGTCATGATCTGATGGTTCTGTGTGGTTGCAGGTGGTGACCGGATCGGGCCGTCAGGAGGCCCAGAAGACCGACGCCGAGTACCGGAAGCTGTTCGACTTGTCCCTGCAGGGCATCCAGCTGCTGTCCCAGTGGAGCGCTCACGTCATGGAAGTGGTGAGGAAGACAAGAAACATGGAAGGAGTCGGTTCTGTTGAGACTGACTTTTCATTGTTTGTGTTTAAGTTCTCCATCACTGCAGAGGTCATCAGGTTAAGTTAGGAGTTCGGAGACACTATGGACAGAACATTGTCCTTCATGCAGCGGCCAGTTTAGATGTTTTGGTCTATTTTTCCTCCATAACTCGTCTTCTGTCAGACGAGAGGAAATAAAACATTTATTTTATTACTTTGTCTGTTTACGTTTGTAGATTTCTACCAAATTCACCAAACGTTACCGTTACATAATGCCTCATTTGCATATTTAAACATAACATTTCAGAGATCTTGTAATGCAATAAATAATCCTCTTAGTGTGAGTGATGAAGTGGTGAAGTTTCATGGTGATATCTATGAGTTCAGATGTAGTTTCTCCTCTTTAGTATTCCTGTTGCTCGGGGCTTTAATATGAAGTATGTTTGATGTTGGTCCCATCTCTTCAAATCTCTCCCAGTACTCCTGGAAACTGGTTCATCCGACAGATAAATACTCCAACAAAGAGTGTCCCGACAACGCCGAGGAGTACGAGAGAGCCACCAGATACAACTACACGTGCGAGGAGAAGTTTGCTCTGGTGGAGGTCAGTGATGACGTCACCATCATCATCGTCATCATCATCACGTGTTACGAGTCGTCTGGTTCAACGCGTCGTGTGTTTGCAGGTGATGGCGATGATAAAGGGGCTGCAGGTGCTGATGGGACGCATGGAGAGCGTGTTCAATCACGCCATCCGTCACACCATCTTCTCGGCTCTGCAGGACTTCGCTCAGGTGACTCTGCGCGACCCGCTGCGACAGGCCATCAAGAAGAAGAAGAACGTCATCCAGAGGTACGGGGGTCTCAGCTGCAGGACCAGTAACAACGTCACCCAAACATGGTCGTGCATGTGTGAACTATCGGACTCTCTTGGTCCTCTGTCTGCAGCGTCCTCCAGGCCATCAGGAAGACGGTGTGTGACTGGGAAACCGGCCGAGAGCCCCACAACGACCCGGCGCTCCGCGGAGAAAAAGATCCCAAGGGCGGCTTTGATATCAAGGTTCCTCGCCGAGCAGTGGGCCCCTCCAGCACCCAGGTCTCAGCTCCACGGCTTTGCTTGTGAAAACCAGACCAAAGCTTTGTTTAAACTCGCACTTGGCGCCATAGCGTGAACGGAGGCGTTTATACTCTTCGTATAATCCATCGACATGTAAATCGTGTTTTTAATTATTTAACTATTTGCGACAGTCACTAAATCGTGTGCCGGCTTCACTGCTGCGAGTATAAACAAAGCTTTAACTTTAACAACTTTAAGATCATTTATTTTACAGGATCTGGTTTCTTCTAACTGTTCATTGTTATGAGACGTAGAATTAAGTGATTTGAATGAAAAATCACAATTTTAAGCTTCACTTTGTATTTCCTGACAGAGGCATCACACATGATGTGTTTAAGGACTTCCAGAAAGTTGGAAATCTGATGATCATGTCTGTTTTTAAAGCTTCTGGTTCTGAAAAATGGTTTCATTTTGGCGATAGAAAAAGAAACTGAAACTTTCTTTTTAAAGCCACCTCACGTTTCGGGGTTCAGAGGGTTAACAACACATTTCCTCTCGCTGTCTTTTCCCACTTTAACTTAGGCTCATGAAGCTCACACGGCTCCGGTCACAGATCAGTGAAGAGAGATATTATGAGCCGCTTCTCTCTTGTTCTCTCTTCTTCTATTAATTAGCCTTCATGCGCTCATGCAGCTCTATTTAAATCTACACGTGACGGAGCTGAACACTAATCATCTGTGCTCTGTGCTGGATGCCGTCATGTGTTTGTTAGCATCCTTTACATTTTATAAACCACACAGATTCATCAGATTAGAGCTCTGTTCCAAGAACTAATCTGTATTCCAGGTGCAGAACTGTGACGCTAAACAGTCACCGTCTGTGTTTATCTCCCCGAATCATGAGAACGGGTCAGAGGAGGTGTTGTCCTCTGAGCTCGAGCGCTTTGTGAGTGACGATCAAAAAGCTTTGCTGTGATGGAAAGACCAGAAAAAAGAGACAAAACGCATTCCTGTTAAAAGTGCTTTTTAATGACATGAAAGAGATGAGAACGAGTTAAAGGACGTGTGATGGAGCTAATAAATCCACCAGATGATACAGAGCCGTCATCCAACAGGAAGTCATCATCACTGGTTCCCTGCACAACTAAATGTGTTAAACACGGACCTGATTCCAGACGTCTGAACTAAAACACATTCATGTCCACATCCGTCCCTGCAGCTCTACATGGTGAGGACCATGCTGGAGTCTCTCATCGCAGACAAAAGTGGCTCCAAGAAGACTCTGCGCAGCGGCCTGGACGGCCCCACCATCCTGGACATCGAGAGGTTCCACCGCGAGTCCTTCTTCTACACACACCTGCTGAACTTCAGCGGTGAGTGAAGAGGAGCGGTCTGACCCTGCAGCTCTGTCGTGTCTCGGGATTAACTGCGGTTAAATAAGTCAGTTTCATAACCTCGATAACTGAAGGAGCTGCAATATCCGTCCGTCTAATACCCGTAGATATTAGAGATGAATTATGATGTTTAACTTCCTAACACGAGCTCTAGGCTCTTTATTATACTTCATTAATAACTATAATGAAGAGATTTATTTAAATCAATAAAAATACAATCTTCTATTTCCTGATCATTTGAATTTTAAACTATAAATCCCGATTAAGTAAATGAGTTGATGATGACAATAAACATTTTAGTTAATTTGCTGTCGGCCTACCAGACATATTCTAGGTAACAGTCGTTTAAACTGATATTTCCTCTGACGGTAATCACGACCTCATCATTTCATATTGTGCTGTCCGTGAATAGATGAAGAGTTTCTGCTCTTCTCCTCTTCCTCTGTGCAGAGACCCTGCAGCAGTGTTGTGATCTCTCTCAGCTCTGGTTCAGGGAGTTCTTCCTGGAGCTCACGATGGGCCGCAGGATCCAGTTCCCCATCGAGATGTCCATGCCCTGGATCCTCACCGACCACATCCTGGAGACCAAGGAGGCGTCCATGATGGAGTGAGTACCTCCTGACTAGTCGTTGTGATTTATTTGATAGGTGTTATTCAATAGTTTCATATAAGTGTGTTCCAACACAACCACAGACTGTGACGTCACTCATTGCTTTGTGGACTACCGTTATGAGTTTGGCAATTTTGGCCGTCGCCATCTTGTTTTTCTGCAACCAGTAAACAGGAAGTGAGCATATCTGGACTGAGGAGGAGAGACGTAGAGACGCTGTATACGTCTCTGGTAGAGACCTGTCAATCACC